GAGAGAGAGAGAGAGAGAGAGAGAGAGAGAGAGAGAGAGAGAGAGACAGAGAGAGACACAGAGAGAGAGGTAAAGAGAGAGACAGAGAGACTGGGAGACAGAATGAATGAGGGGGAGGGAAGAGAGGTGATGAGAAGAATCTTTTAAAGGGTGCACAGATCACATTGGAAGGTAAGCAACTCATAGCAGCCATGGAATGGGCTGCCCCTGGCAGCAGGGCAGGTGCTGATTTAAGCTGCTGGTGCTTCGAGCCTGAAAGTCAGGCTGGAGGAGCACCTGATCTACAACACTTAAGCATGAGGACCTGAGTTCGAGTCTCAGGACCCACACTGTGGAAGGACAGAACTGACTCTCCAACGTGCTCTCTGAGCACATATTCACCATGCCATGTGCCCCTCCCACAATAAAAATATGTAATTTAAAAAGAGCTTAACATTGAACTTCAGGACCGAAGAGAGGGCTCAGTGGTTATAGCGCCAGCTGGGAGCCCGACTCCTTTGCCTGCTTTTGGGAACCTTTTCCTTTGGGAGACTGTAGTCTGGATGTAATATATGAGAGAATTAAAAAAAATAAAAGCAACAAGTGTTCTTGCCGAGGGATCTGAATTTCATTCCCAGCACCGCAGAACTGCTCTAGTTCCAGGGCGTTGACACCCTCTTCTGGTCTTTCTGGGCACTACACCCATGTGCACCTATACATCATTAAAAAAAATTTTTTTTTTAATTTTTGGTCTTTTGAGACAGGGTTTCTCTGTGTAGCCCTGGCTGTCCTGGAACTAAGTCTGTACACCAGGCTGGCCTCAAACTCAGAGATCTTCCTGCCTCTGCCTCCCAAGTACTGGTATTTAAGGCGTGTATTAATAGTACCCAGCTTTAAAAAATAATTTTTTAAAAAGTAGACTTAGATTCTGTGTTGTAAAACTTGGTGTGTTTGTGACATTTGGAGTTTGTTACTTGGCTTCAAGTGAGAATGTTGTGAGATGAGGCTATGGGTCACAAGTTTTCATGACAGTGGTGACACACTGACATCCTGTCCTGAGAACACAGGGAAGGACTGACTCAAAGAAAACAATGTGGCTATGACAGTCTCTCTGCTGTTTACTGTGCAAACCTCATGGTTGCAATAGCAATGCCTGACATGATATATTTCAATAATTCTGAGAACTAATGTTATATTTTTTGAGTTTTAAAAACTACTCATTTTTATCTGTCTCTCTCTCTGTCTCTCTCTCTGTCTCTCTCTCTGTCTCTCTCTCTGTCTCTGTCTCTCTCTCTCTCTCTCTCTCTCTCTCTCCATTGTTTTTTTTTGTGTAGTTCTGGCTGTCCTGAAACTCACTCTGTAGACCAAACTGGCCTCAAACTTAGAACTCAGAGATCTTTCTGCCTCTGTCTCCTGAATGCTCAGATCAAAAGTATGTATCGCCAATGCGTGGTTAAAAGTAAGTGCTTTTGTTAGTTTATGTGCACTGCCTCCATGCAGTATCCAAAGAGGTCAGAAGAGGGGACCATATCTCCTGCAGTTGAAGTTACATGTGGTTGTGAGCCATGCAGTGTGGGTTCTGGGAACCAAACTGAGACCTTCAGTATGAAAGCAGTGAATGTTCCTAACTGCTGAGCTCTTTCTAGCCTGCCCCCTTCCGACTCCTGAGTGGTAGGTAGTCTTACAGGGCTGGGTCTCCACACGTGGAGTAGCATTCTGGCACAGTGACAAGCACTCTACTGAATAAGGTGCACTCCCAGGCCCTGAGGGATTTTTTCCATTTTTAAAATTTTATTTCTTTTAAGACATTTGTGTTGGGAGAATCTTTTTGTACACTGTGTGAAGATATTTCTCTGTCCTTCCTTGCCTACCTAAGGCATTCTCTGATTGGTTTAATAAAGGGCTGGATGTCCTATAGCAAAGCAGGTGTCCCCCATCCTCTTCTGCTTTGCCTCCCTGAGGTCTCAGAAAATAAAGCTTTAATTTTTAAGCTTCCATCTCTGAAGTGAGTTTTTGTAGGGGTAGTTCTGATGCTGAGGTCCTGTTCCCCAATTGGTTCTTGATCTGTTGGTATAGAAGCCATGGGCCAATTGCTAGGCAGAAGGAATCAGTGGGACTTAAGGGCCCTTGGGGGCAAGTGGAGAGATGCAAGGGAAGAGAGAGAGTTCACCATGAGTCTGAAGAAGAAAAATTGACCAGCCATGTGAGATCTAGAAACAGAGTGGCCAGGCCGCCCCTACAGGCGGGTGGTCAAGGGTGTTTAGCAGGGACTAGATTCAACTGAACAACTAAAGTTAGGGCAGGTGGGAGGAGAGGAAATAAGAATGTTGATGGGGCACGCTTTTCCAGGCAGGAGAGAGTAGCCCAGCAATTGTGTCAAAAGGCAAGTTGAAGCTAAACTTATTTATCCGTGTCATTTATCCGTGGATTCAAGGGAAACTGGGTGGGGGCTGGTAGTGTGGTCCATTCCCAGAGCATTGTCGGGGTAGAAAAGCTACATGCAACAAGTTTTATCACCCCAAGCATAACACTAATGTGGCTAATGGAGAGTCTGAAGTTACCGATGTAGCTACTATAACATTGTGAACTGTAAAAGAATTGTATATTCTATCTAGCCTGTGCAAAAGACACACAAACCTGGTATTTTATCTACAAGCTGTAAGCCTAGATTGGGCATATTCGATGCTATTCTCAAATATATCCTGTTGCATGTAGTTTTTAAAGCTCGATACACCCTAGCCCAGGAGCTGCAGCGCTCTGGCCCCTCCTGGCTCCTTTTTGTCCCACCTGGCTTAGCTCCGGGGACAATCACAATCCACCCCAACCCAGCTTCTTTTTCTAACCACCTTTGTTCAGGCTTGTCTCTGGGATCAGCTGCCTCCAGCCTCTCTCTCTACCCAGGAGGGGTTGCATTACAAAACACTCCCGAGATCCTAGAATGCCTGCTAGCACAATTGCTGGTCTCAAATACTTCCCACCAGGAAATGAGTGCCCTTATCAATTTATTATCTCTGTTTTTCCTTCTGCCCTAAGCTTAATGGCTTGTTCCAATTAGCCCCTGCCAGACATCTTTGGCCCTGCCTGCAGCAGAGGCCACAGGCCCCATCTCTTCCCGAGGCCTCACATGATTGCGACATCCTCTTTCCTCCAAGGCAAGGCAAAAAGGCCTCTCTCTTTCCCGGCATCTCCTTTTCTTCTTGGGACCCAGAAGTCCCACTTGTACCTTCTGTCCAGCAGTTGGCTCTTGTCTTTCTTTACTGACAAGTCAAGAACCAATTGGGGAACAAGACCTTAGTGACAAGAACCTCCCCTTACAATACCCAAACCATATGTCCCTTGTTACTTGGTGTTTTTTTAGTCTCACCCTGGCTGCTTTGCTCTGTCAGTCTGTCTGTCACATCTAATGGAGACCTCCTGTTCTCCACATCTTCCTTCTCCCCAGGTCTCTCCTGAGACCCCTTCACACCATCCTCAAGTCCTGTCTTTATTGCCGAATCACAGGCTCTATCCTTTTATTAACCAATTAACTTTAAATTGGAGAGCAAGGTTTACATAACAAAGGCTGGCGTATGTGAGAATTCTCTTGACTGGATGTCAACCAGATCTTGGGATTCAGAATTTAGCATTTGTATACATAGCAGCAGCTCACCGCCCAACAGTGAACAGACATGGCTGGCTTCGCATGAGCAGGTGAATTGAGTTAGATGGGCTTCAGATAGTTCAGTAATGATCGAAGGCATGCAGGGTGTCATTGTGCCATGCCGTCAGTACAGAGTGATCACACTAGTTAAATTCTCTCCCCTATCTGCCCTTTGGCTCCCCACAGCCTGCACTTGTGGGTCCCAGGATTACCCAGCAGACTAGCGAGCTTGAGACCACTATCTGAGACAGAAGCCAATCTGTTGACTTGTGCATGCTTCTCCTCTTTTGCCACCAAAGTCCCTCTTGGGGACACTGAGCTGCACAGAGGCTTCAGATTACTCAGCTTCTAAACTGAGAACTCTCAGATACAGGTATGAGATCCCAAAACTGGTTTGGTTTCTCTGATATGGCTACAGCAAAGAGGGATTT